GCCCTTCACCACCTTCCCTGCCCTTCACCACCTTCCCTACCCTTCACCACCTTCCCTACCCTTCACCACCTTCCTGCCCTTCACCACCTTCCCTGCCCTTCACCACATTCCCTGCCCTTCACCACCTTCCCTATCCCTTCACCACCTTCCTACCCTTCACCACCTTCCCTACCCTTCACCACCTTCCCTACCCTTCACCACCTTCCCTACCCATCACCACCTTCCCTGCCCTTCACCACCTTCCCTGCCCTTCTCCACCTTCCCTGCCCTTCACCACCTTCCCTGCCCTTCACCACCTTCCCTACCCATCACCACCTTCCCTGCCCTTCACCACCTTCCCTGCCCTTCACCACCTTCCCTGCCCTTCACCACCTTCCCTGCCCTTCACCACCTTCCCTACCTTTCACCACCTTACCTGCCCTTCACCACCTTCCCTACCCTTCCCCACCTACCCTACCCTTCACCACCTTCCCTACCCTTCACCACCTTCCCTACCCTTCACCACCTTCCCTACCCTTCACCACCTTCCCTACCCTTCACCACCTTCCCTACCCTTCACCACCTTCCCTACCCTTCACCACCTTCCCTGCCCTTCACCACCTTCCCTGCCCTTCACCACCTTCCCTGCCCTTCACCACCTTCCCTACCTTTCACCACCTTCCCTGCCCTTCACCACCTTCCCTACCCTTCACCACCTTCCCTACCCTTCACCACCTTCCCTGCCCTTCACCACCTTCCCTACCCTTCACCACCTTCCCTGCCCTTCACCACCTTCCCTGCCCTTCACCACCTTCCCTACCCTTCACCACCTTCCCTACCCTTCACCACCTTCCCTACCCTTCACCACCTTCCCTACCCTTCACCACCTTCCCTACCCTTCACCACCTTCCCTACCCTTCACCACCTTCCCTACCCTTCACCACCTTCCCTACCCTTCACCACCTTCCCTATCCTTCACCACCTTCCCTACCCTTCACCACCTTCCCTACCCTTCACCACCTTCCCTACCCTTCACCACCTTCCCTACCCTTCACCACCTTCCCTGCCCTTCACCACCTTCCCTGCCCTTCACCACCTTCCCTACCCTTCACCACCTTCCCTATCCTTCACCACCTTCCCTACCCTTCACCACCTTCCCTACCCTTCACCACCTTCCCTACCCTTCACCACCTTCCCTACCCTTCACCACCTTCCCTACCCTTCACCACCTTCCCTACCCTTCACCACCTTCCCTATCCTTCACCACCTTCCCTACCCTTCACCTTTCCCTGCACCTTCCCTTCCCTTCCCTACCCTCACCACCTTCCCTACCCTTCACCACCTTCCCTGCCCTTCACCACCTTCCCTACCCTTCACCACCTTCCCTACCTTCACCACCTTCCCTACCCTTCACCACCTTCCCTGCCCTTCACCACCTTCCCTACCCTTCACCACCTTCCCTACCCTTCACCACCTTCCCTACCCTTCACCACCTTCCCTACCCTTCACCACCTTCCCTACCCTTCACCACCTTCCCTACCCTTCACCACCTTCCCTGCCCTTCACCACCTTCCCTGCCCTTCACCACCTTCCCTGCCCTTCACCACCTTCCCTGCCCTTCACCACCTTCCCTACCCTTCACCACCTTCCCTACCCTTCACCACCTTCCCTGTCCTTCACCATCTTCCCTTCCCTTCACCACCTTCTCTGCCCTTCACCACCTTCCCTGCCCTTCACCATCTTCCCTGCCTTTCACCACCTTCCCTGCCCTTCACCATCTTCCCTACCTTTCACCACTTCCCCTACCCTTCACCATCTCCACTACCCTTCACTATCTTCCCTGCCCTTCACCACCTTCCCTACCCTTCACCATCTATACTACCCTTCACCATCTTCCCTGCCCTTCACCACCTTCCTACCCTTCACTACCTTCCCTGCCCTTCACCACCTTCCCTACCCTTCACTACCTTCCCTGCCCTTCACCACCTTCCCTGCCCTTCACCACCTTCCCTGCCCTTCACCACCTTCCCTGCCCTTCACCACCTTCCCTGCCCTTCACCACCTTCCCTACCCTTCACCACCTTCCCTGCCCTTCACCACCTTCCCTGCCCTTCACCACCTTCCCTGCCCTTCACCACCTTCCCTACCCTTCACCACCTTCCCTACCCTTCACCACCTTCCCTACCCTTCACCACCTTCCCTGCCCTTCACCACCTTCCCTACCCTTCACCACCTTCCCTGCCCTTCACCACCTTCCCTGCCCTTCACCACCTTCCCTGCCCTTCACCACCTTCCCTACCCTTCACCACCTTCCCTACCCTTCTCCACCTACCCTGCCCTTCACCACCTACCCTACCCTTCACCACCTACCCTACCCTTCACCACCTTCCCTACCCTTCTCCACCTTCCCTGCCCTTCACCACCTTCCCTGCCCTTCACCACCTTCCCTACCCTTCTCCACCTTCCCTGCCCTTCACCACCTTCCCTGCCCTTCACCACCTTCCCTACCCTTCACCACCTTCCCTGCCCTTCACCACCTTCCCTGCCCTTCACCACCTTCCCTACCCTTCACCACCTTCCCTGCCCTTCACCACCTTCCCTGCCCTTCACCACCTTCCCTGCCCTTCACCACCTTCCCTACCCTTCACCACCTTCCC